CAATTTTTACGATTTGTTTTTTTGGGAATTTTCCAGAAAGTGGAAAAAAAAAGACTTTTAGTAAGAATTATAAATTCCAAATTGATTTTATAAGATTTCAAAGTGTTTTACTCTTGAATTTTATTTTCTTATATTTTTTATTGCTGTTATTGTAATAATGAAGATAAATGTATAACAACTTAAATATTCATTTATAAATATTATTTCACACTTACAAAATAATTAAATCACTTGATAATTTATCAAAAAAATAAAACTAAATTAATTATTTTGAAATAAATAAACAATATTATTTTTCAAGACTTTTTTAGGGAATGCTTTTAAATAGCAACTTGTTAAAATTCAAAGAGTTGTAAAATATTTATTTTAAAAGAGAATAATAAATTGATATTTAATGTGTTCTTATAAAATGATTTCAAATATTTTTCAAAAAAAAAACAAAAAAACATTAAAAAAATATTTAAAAATGAATTATTTATTTCCTTGTTGAATAAAAATATGCAAAAACTATATTTAAAAAAATATTGCATACTTTCAGGATAAAATACAATAAAATTATAATGGAACGAGAATGGATAGAGTTGATCGTGTCAACTCTGTGACGTGACACCCGTACGAATAAATAATTATAAATGTCAGAGATAATTGACATACATTTTCGTACAACCTCTTGCTTTTTATGTGTCTAGTGCTATTTTATGCATATATATTTGTACAGACTAGCAATACATATATACAACTATATATATATATATATATATATTATGTATAAACACATATATATATAGATATAAATAGTATATATAGATATAGATCTAATATATATAGATATAGTTACCATGTCAACAAATAGATCCTAAAATAATTTTACTGAATATGATGGTGATGTAGCCAAGTTCCTATCTTAAAAATTTCAACTTTGTTATTCCAATAGTTTCTGAGCTATGAACAAACACCTTATCAAAATGGCAACTATCACAAGCAGTTGGAAATTTCAACGACTTTTATCAAACATAACCGCTCTAACAATATATTTGCTTTTTCAAGTTTTCAAAACTATACCCTGCATAATTTCTGAGATATAATCAAATAAATTTTGAAATTATACTGCAGCTACCCCAACCAGTACCTCGATCATATCCAATTTAAATAGGATTCTGGCATTGACTATAATAAATTATTTGCGAGAATTTGGAAAACTTAGTTCAATTAGTTTTTGAATTATCGCTGGGACGAACGGACGGATAGACAAGATTAAATCGATTCAGAATTCGATGCTCATCAAAAACGTATACTTAAGTCTATACATCAGACTATTACTTCTTAAAGTTACAAACGGTAAGGCGAATTTAGTATAATACACTCGTACGGGTACAATGAATTATTTTTTCTCTTGCTGAATAAATTAAAAACTTTTTTTTTTTAAATTGCATACTTTCGGGCTACACTACAATAAAATTATAATATAAATATCGCTTAAATGGTGTCTAAATAAATGAAATATAAATAACAAGAAATAGTTAGTAATTGAAACAAATTTGTTTTATTTAAAAATTAAAATACATAGCTAGTTTAATTTGACATGATATGAAAAAAAAAAAAATTCAATTGTTTTCGTGTTTAAACTAAATTAAAATTTTTGAAAATAATTTTTATTTAATTTTTTATTTATTGTACAGCTATTCTTATTGTATGAATAATTTTCTCTAATTAGTAAATATTTCTGTAGCTATGTTTGATAAATTGTTCTAAACCATAAAAAAATAGATTTAATTTAATATTTTCTCGATATTCTCATTATTTACATTGCTCTCTTAATATCGTATTGCTATGTCATAATTATCGCATAATAAATTAGTGGAATCACAAGGTTAATTGAACAATTTAAAATATTAAATTAATTTAAAATTATTCTAAAATTTGGTAATGATTTTTTTAAAGAAATCAATTACCGACATTTGAAATTGAGCGATGACTCCAGGAACGAAAATCATACCTATGTCTATAGGAAAAAATATTTTTAGATAAGGGTTAATTTTAACCGCAATTTTCTCACCATAATGTTTCGCGATTTTGTTTTGCAATAGAAGAATAAAGTCTTTTAAAAAAATTGTCGAAAAAGTTATTCTTGAGGCATGGGGGTTCGAACTGACATGTATGTAAATCATAATAAACTCATCTATTTTGCATGCAATCACAAAATATACTTTTAACCTTCGAGGGGTGCTTATAATTTTATTCTAAACATTATGGTAGAATCTTTATTTAATAAATTTTCCTTTAATTTTAATAATATTTTTTGAAAATGAAAAGTTTATGAAAACATAAAATGACTGTAAAAAAAAATTAATAAAAATTATTTAAGACCTGAATACGCGTAATTTGCTTTGAACTTTTCTTTCTTTTTTTTGAATATAACACATAAAAAATCTTTATTCAAGTTAAAACTCTTGGGGAATTTATGTTACCGTAATTGAATATAAATAATCAACAGAAAATAAACAAAATATATAATTTAAAAATATAAAAAAAAATATTTCTAAAAATGTTATAAATAATATCTTGGCTAGAAATTTATAGCCCTGTAATATAAATGAGAAAAAAAAACGCGCAGTAAGACGATTGTAAATACCAAATTAGGCACTCATCTCAAACATATAAATAATATTTTTATTTATGAACACATTTTTACATTACGTGATAAACAGTTGCCTAGCTTTCAAAGACTGCAAAATCCCAAAATATAATAGAAATATTTTAATTTAATTTAATATTCTAGAAATAAAATAGGAAATATAAATTTTTCAATTATTAAATAGAAAAAGCGGTGCTCCAAATTTGAACTTGAACTTATTATTAAACAATTAAGAAAATTCATCAGAATTAAGAAGAATATTTAAGCATAGCTTGAATGTATTGAATGTATTTCAGACATCTAGCTTGAATTATGATTGAATTTTATGCGAATTCTAAACAAAATGTGTGCGAAACCAAGCCCTATACCTGCCAAACCATGCTCTTGAATAAAAAATTATTAAAAATTTAGAGATTTCAGTATTGCTAGCAGTTAAGAAATTCCACTAGTCAATAAGGTTTACTATGTACTTTTACTAAAATACATTATTAAAATTTTGCTATAAGACAAAGTTTAATGTCGACAACTACTTGGAGCATAATAGAATCTCATCACAATCTTCACACTTCCATACAACAATTATCGATTTCAATTTTAAAATTTTTCATTTCTAAGCGCAATTTAAACGGTATGGTGAACGACTCATCCATTTTATATTTAAAATTTTGAATTTTCCAGTATCTTATTCTTATATTGCACTTTAAAAACAATTACATATTCATATACAAATATATATACATAATTTGTTTATACTCACACTTAAAGTTTGAATATGAATTTTATAAGATAACAAAAAAAAAATAGAAACAACCAAAGCAAAAAGTATGTATGTAATACTTTTCGTCTGATAAAATTTACATCATTTCACTTTTGAAGAATTTACAACTTTCTTTAAGCTCTTATCAATTCTTCGAAAAAAAAAAATAAAATTGGTTAAGAAATAAAGAAGAAAGAAATCCTTGGTAAATATTATCGATATTTCTATGATATTACAAAAATATCACAAAAAAAAATCCTGTCTAAGTTAATATATATATTACTATAAATATATGTGATATATATACGATATGTGTATGATATATATACATTTTGTATTATTTTTATTATATATTGGGGTAAAAGAAACCCTCCTAACCAAAAAAAAAAAATATACATACTAAATTATGCAATCAATCCTATATATAACAAAAATCTGACTTTATACTCCGAAAAATAAAAACACACATACACATAAAAACACAAAAATAAACCAGAAAAAAAAATTCACCATTTTTACATGGCATAATATTATGTTTGTAATAATAATCTAGATAGATGATGATCACAGAATGGAATTTATAAAAATCATACAAGAGATTTGTGTGTACACCCACATAAATTTTTCAGAATATATAAAAATTGATTTTTCTTCTTTAACATTGCATTTTCCATTTTTAAAATAGGCATTATTTAATAGGAAATTCAATAAAATTACATAAGATTTTCGATTCTTTGAAATGTAGATTGATCGAACTAATTTTCTAACTTACAATCAAAAATTGTGAAAATTGCCTAAAAATTATCAAATTATCGACTGAACGTTTAACTTTCGATAACAAAATGAATAAATTTTGTATACACTTTTAAAAAAAATGATATACGCAATGCGTATCGATATATGTTAGTTACTCATTTTCTTCCCACTTGGCGAGTAATATAACGAGATACACGATGAGACTCTTAACTTTTTCTTTCAAAGTTCGCATTAAAAAATAATAATTCGAAAATAAGACGCTGTTAAACATTTAAAAATTAATCGAATTAACTAAACCACTACTGTGAGTGGATACTGTTGCGTTTCCATCACATGTATGCAATCTATTAAGTTTGCACAATGTTTACTTATATTTATTATTATACCTCAATAGTATCCTAGTGTAGACAATAAAAAAATTCAACATTATTCAATCGTTTTATATCAAAAAAAATTTTCCTCTTTTTAAGTTTTTGATTTTTTTACAACCAAAAGCCAAAAAAAAAATAAAATAAAAAACAAGAAGGATCATAAAATATTTACAAAATCTCTTCTCTTGTAATCTTCTCTTTTCTATAGATATATATATGTACATATAGATAAACAATATGTTTGTATACGAGTATGTGTACAGAATTCATTTTTGCTTCAATACGAGAGTAAGCAAAGCAATTCTATTTTTATTCCTTTTTACTCATGTACTCTTTTTTTTCGTAAAATTTCTCGTGATTATGAATTTTACTGGATTTCTTATTTTTTTATGAATAAATTTATAAAAAAAAGTATGAAAAAATAAATTTTATTATAAAAAAGAAAACGTTATTTAAATTTTTTTTATTTTTTTTCACTTACCCAAATATCGATTTCTGGTCCAGTGTACTTTTTTCCTTCGAACACTTCTGGTGCAGCTATATAAATTTAAAAACAAAATTTGCATTATTTATATAGTATATTTTTTATATATTTTATTGTACACAAATATGTAAATGTGCAGCTCATATTAAATAGGGATAATCCGAATAATACTAATTATGATATGGAATAATACTCCATATTGATAGCAATTAATAAAATATACGAAAACATATAAGATATGTATGACAAGAAAATATGATTTCACACATGTATGAATACACGTGCATGTATTACTACGCATATGTATGATTGCAATATATGTATGATTCAAAATTTTGTATGACACAATATTTGATTTAGAGAACGCAATTGCTGCTTGATTGCAGAATCGTTGTAAGCACATCTAATCAACTACACTATTTCGTTGCAAAACTAAAAATTGCATGTCTATCTCAGCCCTTAGATTATTATATCACTATTATTGATCCTATTTCATGATTTGAGTATAAAGCTTCTAATTCCAACTGACTAACTAACTTCTTATCGACACTAGTCGATATTATAATTCCTTTAGTTGAAGGAAATAATTATGCATATTAATCCCAGTGAATAATTATTCTCAATTCTTTTGTGCTCAAACTTAAAAGTTAATTTTTCTAATACATAATACAAAAATTTCATAAAAGCCTTGTCCATTTACAAACCATTCCCAACTACTTCGGTAATTTATATTCTTAGAAGAAACACAATCATAATATAATTTATGGTTTTTGATTCTCTTTTTTGATTTATGGATGGTAGATTTCGAAGTAAAACATTAGTTAAAAGTTGAACATAAACGAATAATGAATTTCAATTGAATTAACTCACAGCATCCCTATTTAGTATAAGCTGTACATTTATTTATGAAAATAATATTATAAAGAATAAAAATTTCTTACCATATGGCGGTGAACCACACCATGTAGCCAATAGTTCACCACGTTTATACATATTTGAAAAACCAAAATCAGCTATTTTGATATTCATATTTGAGTCTAATAGAAGATTCTCAGCCTGAAAGAATAATACAAAGGTATATACAAAAATCAAATAAGTATAAAAATTTTTTGTTTTTATTTTGTTTGCTTTGTAATCGAAATCAAATCAAATATTATAATATAAAAGATAACGTATGTAAAATAATATGGAAAATTTGAAATAAATTTTATTAATAAAATATAAATAATATACTATATGGTACACAAGTACATTATATAAACAGGCCCGGTTCTGATTTGTTGGTTAACCCACGAGGTTTCCAAAAAAGGCTCTTTAATTTTTTTAAGTTTTCAATGGTGCCTCCGCTTTCCGGCGCCCATTTCAAATGCTTACTTTGCATATATGCTAGATCCGGCACTGTATATATACACACATAAGTTAAGTATGTACGTATACAAAGTATATTGAATATTACAGGGAATCTATTCGCTGCTATATTATGCTTATTCAATGGAAAATTTTCAAAAGAAAATATTTTATGAATATTACTTTGAAAATTTCATTAAAAAAAATTTTTATTTTTTCAACATTTTCCTTATGAAATACACTATTTTATAAATACTTATAGATACCTGTACAATAAATATATAAAAATATATAGGATAGTTTCATAAGTTCATGTATGCAAATGATTTTCATAAATAAATAAAGGAAACTTCTTTGAATTTAAGTTTTTAATAATATTCAAAAGCCCTTAAAACTTTAAATTTTCCATAAATTCCCTATACGCATTTCTGTCATTCGCGATACAAGTAGTACAAATTTGAAATTTTCTCTAAATTTCAATTTAAATCACTACTATGAATTCTAAATTTTATTTGTGCTTCCTCAATTCCTCGCTCTTAATTAAATCCTTAATTCTATCATAAATTTTTATTGTTTTCTGTGATATATGAATTTGTACTTTCATATAAGAAGAAATTCTCGCACAAGTTCATAATTTTATTGCTGCCTCGGTTAAATTAAAACTTCTACGAAAAATACAGATAAATAAATGCAACGAATGAAAAAGAGTATACGTATGGTATTTGGTAACACTATTTTGAGTATGTCATTCAATCTTATATAGCAGCGAGCGTTCTATTTAACTTATGATCAAGCATATTTTGATTCCAAACTTATAGGTATGCTTAATTAAAATATAAAGACTTTCCATGTTTATACCTAGTTATGACGGAAATTTCCATTAGTGGCATTGTTTTCCTTGGAAATACCATAAAATTTCATTAGATATTAGTTCCCAAAGATGGCTCTTAAAACTTTACTGTTGCTGTCAATAGATCACAGTCAATAGATCACATAAATACCAAGCAATTATTGTTATAAATGTTACATTTTATTCTACATTAGTAAAATACTCTAAAAAAAATTCCAAATTTTAAAGAGCAAACAACAAAATTAAAATTATTTTTAGTCAATTATTTTTAACTTTAAAATTGCATCTTCCCAGAAATTAACAAAAAAAAAATGTATACATACATTTTTAAGGTAATAAAGGACAGCAAAATTAAAAGAAAAAATCATGGATGATCAAGGACACGAAATAAAATATCCTACCTACCTACATAGGTACTTTTGTAATTTACAATTTCACATATTTACTATTTATTTATTTGCTTTTTTCTGTTCTGGTTCTTTTTATTTAAAATTGGCATTGAATACCGCATATTGGTAACAATTTTGGTAACATAGAAAAAAAAAAATGAAATAAAAATTGAAAATCTCTGCATTGCGACTATTTTTTTTCAACTATTTTCAATTTTAGTTCAACTGAAATTCGTTGGTTTTTCAGTTTTGTTTTTTTTCATTTTTCAATTTCGAAAATTAAAAAAAAAGAACAAAACAATTCTGTTAACAAGAGTATACGACTAAATAACCGTTATTTTAGTCATCCCTTTTTTTTTAGTTTTCTGCTTTTTGTAAACTTTTTTTTATTTTTTTGTTATTTCGCCCCTGTTTGTTTAAAGTTGTTTAAAGTGAAAGAAAATTAACTTGGCATGGAAAGAGAAAAGAATAGATGAAAAAATATTCCAAATAATCAAAAGGATTCCATAAGAATCACAAATTTTCATACTCTATAGTAGTGGAACAGATTTTTCCATTCATTTCTTTCTTTCACGAAAAAAAAAAATAAAAAAAAAAAGAACAACAATTCTATTAGACTTCATCCAGATTTAGAGTTTAATATAGTGAAGATGTAAAAACAAAAATAAGAAAAAAAGAAACTTTATAACGAAAAGAAAAATTGTCATTTATGCTCCATAGTCTACACAATATAGGACTACTTTGTATAAAATGTAAATGAAAATCCGTGGAAAATAATAAAATTGTAATATTTCCGTTATTTTCAATTCTTTTTTCCATTCTAGATTGTGATTGTATAAATTTACGTTATATACATTTTTATATACAATTTATCTTTTATCTTATAGCTAAAATGATAAAAATATTTACGCCATTTTGATGACGCGCCAAAATAAATTTTTATTGTTTAGTGTCGCGTACATTTTTTTTTCACATTTATACAATAGTTCCACCTCTATTCTCTCAAAATTCAATAGAAGTAGATGAGAACATTTGTTTTTGTTTAAAACTTTAAAAAAAAAAATTTTAAATTAAATGTGAATATTTTTTTATTGAAAAAAGTAATTGTAATTTTAGCAAGTTTGAAATATTTAAACCTGAAGACAATTTTTTGTACATTAAATCTTGAATGGTACTACTGGCATGCATTTAAAAATAATTATAAAGGTTATTGACTCATATTCATATTTTTCCCAAAATTCAATTTATAATTTAAATATTGTGCTTTTCAAATGTAATTGAAAGTCCTCGCGGTTTCACTATCTTTGTTATGTCATTAAACTCGAAATAAATTTAACTATAATAGAAATAACATGTGGTCCAAAAAAAAATTTCGAGGAAGAATCAGAATCGAGGAAGAGTTTCAACGTTTTTTAATAATTTTTTTAGTGGAATAATAGGGTATGGGCTAGTGTGTTGAAATCGGAGAGTCAAAAATGAAATAAATTTTATTTTAGAATTGGTCTGTAGAATTAGGAGTCGAAATTGGAGTCAGAGCCGGAGTCAAACTTGAAAAATTTAATAACCTCTTAAAATTTATATACAGAAGTTTGAGTGCATATTCGGATTGAGAGTCGAATTCGTAGTCGAAATATGACTCGATTTCGATTAGGCAGTAAAAAATTTTAAATTTAAAATTAAAGAATATTTTTAACTATTTTAATTTCTCATATTAACAAGTTTGATTTCTCAAATCAGTCTTAACTGTACCTAAAAATTCAAGTCTCAGCTATATAGAAAAATTGCCGTACAAAGACGCTTTATTTTCATTACCTTTTCTTACCCATAAATCGGGCAGACTACATTTAATAAGTTTACAAAAAAATCCCTTACAATAATGTCTACTACATATTTAATATTTATCGTGTAAGCCTCATTAAATTCAAATATAACCTCCATTTGGCTTATATAAAAAATTTTAAAACAATGGAATCAAAAATAAAAATATTGTTTTTTTCATCCTTCCTTTATTTGTTTTAAAATATGTATGTATATGCACACATACTGAATTTAATCCTTTATAATTGATTTTTTAAACAATAAATTAATTGATGTTGACTAAATGAAAATATTTTCATATTTGTGAGTATGTCGTATTAATAAATTAATACTAATAATATTATAAATTAAAAAAAAATTTTTTTTAAAAATATTAAAAATTTTTTAAATATTTTTTGTCAATAGAATTTACGTTCATAATTCATATTCATTAAAAAAATTACCATAATTCCATTATTAAAAAATAATTTTGAATTTTTAATATTAATTTTTTTCTTATTTAATTTTTTTTAATAGTATATACATATGTATACTTTTTATTGTAATGCTATTAGGTGTTTATTTTGTTAAGGTTTTTATTTTTAATATAAAATATAAAATTCTATTAAATTTTTAAATACAATGTGGGAATATTTACCCACATATCAAATTCTATACTATTTTGGTTCTATAATATCTAAAGATGATAATTAAACCACCTCTGTATGTGTTTTAATTCTTGAAATTTTCTTTAGAAATATGTCATATTATGTAGGTAAAGAGGACACACATATACCTAATGTATGTATAAGTATTTTACTTATTATTTTTCTTTCATATACGTAGTTATAAATATGTTATTCTTTAAATAGAAACAAAAGGTATTAAATAGCATAATTTACTGGAAAAAAAAATTAATTTTCACCCCCAAAAGTAAATATAATTTTATTGTTTGAAATTTTTACATTTATTAAAAATTGAAATAGATTTTAAAATGAATACATTTTAAAAATATGTAATGTATATTTTAAAAATAGCTTATATCCTATTATATACAAGCTTAATTTGCTTGAATTAGATTGATGTAAAAAAAAACAAAATTGTTTTATTCAATTTTCTAAAGTCATTGGAAAAGATATTATGTTACGACCGTGGCAAAATAATGTTATATTTTATAAAATTTTCTTAAGTACATTTTGTTTTAATTTAGGAACGTCATCATTGCTACTTAATTAACGATGATTATTGCAATATTCCCGACATTAATACACCGAGTCTTTATTTAATAACACATTTAATTGTGAAAGTATAAGAATTTCTGATTTGTGAACATTTTGCCAAACTTAATTTATACTTAATATTTTATATTACAAATCCACTTACAATTAAACGAATATGAAATAAATTTTTGAATATGAAATAATTTTGAGACTTGATAATCGAAATCAATAATCGATTTGAGGTTAATTTATTTCATTTATTTCATCAATAATCGAACACCATGTACTATAAAAGCTTTATTAAAATTTTTGTTCAGTATCATTTTAAAAATTATTTTAAATTGTACATATAAAGTTTTAATTAAAACTCAGTCAAGTTGCATATGAAATTCCCTTTTGAATTTACACAACAACTTAAATCGCTCAATTGAGCAGACGCATGGAAATAACATCTAAAAACTTTGAGCAAAATAAAAAAAATATTAAATTCTAAGTTAATTCTTTGAGCAAAATAAAAAAAAATATTAAATTCTAAGTAGTTTTGCGGCACTTATAATTGTTGCGTGTTTTTTGAAAGGTATATTGGCTATAATATTGAAAAAACGAATTAATAAGCTAGAATTTCTAGTATTTTATATAAATTTCTATATATTCAAAATTGATCATTTGAACCTTATTTCGCAATAAAATATACTATAATAACATTTTGACATTGACAATCTAATAAATCATATTTATAAGGCTTCATAATTCATAAAATAAAAAATTTCGATCAATTAATTATTAAATAAATTTTTTAATTTTTACTAAACACCTTAAACTTTATTTGAGGATAAATAAAAGTGTACAAGCATAAATTTATATAATTAAGAATCGAAAATTAGGTTAAGATAGGCAAAACTATAAATATTTATATTTGTATATATATCAATATATATCATGTAAGTAATTTTTTTTTTGGAATATTTATAAAGTTGAATATTTCTTAAAATAAATTAACCCAATTATAGGGAAATACAATTATAAAGGTGTACACACACACTTGGATATGCAATCATATAACAAATGAATAATGTTCTTGAGAAATTTTTGTATTACATTTTGTAATTTTACTTAGATATATATATATATATATATATATATATATATATATATATATACAGCGGCGGATCTGCCATATATGCAAAATAAACATATGAAAATGAGCACCAGGGAATGAAAACACAATTATTACAGGGACACAATTATTATGCGAAATTTGCAATGTTTATTGGTATTTTAAATTACTTCAAAAGCGGAGGGCCCACTTTGTAGAAATCGAAAAGAGCGCCGAACAACTGAGAACCGGACCTGTATATATAGTTAAAATGGGTATGATAACTGCTTGTATACATTTATACAATTTATTATTTACACAACAAAGTTTTCTTAATATATTAACTTCATCGTTAGTCGATTAAAAATTTATACTTTTACCACCATAGTGACAACAAGATATACAAACTTTTTATTTCTATTCAGTATTCTCACTCTCACACTCTCTTCTATATATGACGTAAAGAGAGTGTATTAATATATAAATTTGATTTGCTCACATATTTTAGAAATTCTTCTATATTCTATATAAGGCTTTCACATAAAACATCTATGTTAATAAATATGTTAACTGTGTACATAACTCACACATACTTGATTATAAAAAATTTTGAAAGGGAAATAAAAAATTCCTAAATATTTTTTTTGCCACTATTTAATTCCTTTTAACATATATGTACATATGTACAGATATAAATAAAAATATATATATATATATATATATATATATATATATATATATATATATGTATATATATATATATATATATATAATTGTCATCATATGTTTATATGACAAATTTAAAAGGAAAAGTAAAAATAAAATTGCCAGTAGCTTTTTGTTTTATCACTGTTTTATGCTTATATACACATATATACATATAAACATAAAAACATACAAATATACTATAATTCATTTTATTGTTTGTAAAGTTTAACTTAACTTTTATATATGTAATAAAATGTCAACAAGTTCTTACTTTTTAGTAAATTTACAAAAAAATACAACAAAAAGGAAAAATCATTTTATATTTGTTACTGAACATTACATGAGCATTGTTTGTCTGTCCAATCTTTAATCTCTTTTTCAAAAAAAAAAATTCCTCTCTCATCAATCTCACATACTCTCAATGTCTGCGAACTGAAAGCCTTAGGGAAAAAGACTATTTAAGACCTTTACTGGAAAACCAAAAATATGATGGAAGAAGACCGTAAGAACGGAATATGATTTGACCGACAGATTTTAGTCAGTAATGAAATGAAGTAGTACAACTGAGAAAGTTTTTAAAGAGAAATCCCAATAATTGAATAACAATGTTCAACAATGTTCTCTGTTGAAATAACAATATTCATTATTCAAAGAGACAAAATTGTTGTAATGAAATTGTTGAAATAACAATGAGGTAACATTAGTACAAATGGGCAACTGAACCCGAATTTGTACAAAAGGCAAAATTTTCATCTTTTTCAAGATTAAAGATCTTCCAATTAACCCTTATTTTTCCAGGGATTTTTTTTCAACATTATTCAATTTCCATACGAAAACGCCAGAACGAAATATGTAAATGATTGTTGCCAAATAAGAAATGTGCTTCTTAGAAGCCATCATTCCAGACCTAGTAGATATTTCTTTATACGGTTGATATCTTCATGTATAATATATAAAATCAAAAACATTTTGTTACAATACCTGTTCCATATAAAGGCACACATATACTCGTACTCTTATATATGAGGTATTTTATTTGCAATGAAAATAAAGTGACAAATAAAGTAAAAAAATAAAAGTTGTTATCCACGTGTGTTGTTTTCCTTTTTTGTTCTTTTTTTACAATGTTTCCTCAATTTTAAGTTTTATTTATTTTGTGATGGTTTCATTGTTTTCACATCCCCATAAAATTATTGCTACTTATTTGATTTTCCTTCCGTCTTCTTATTTTACTTCTAGCTACAAAATTTTTTTTTATCTGCATAGTTTTTCATGAATGTGTGAGTATCACAATAATATGTAGGTATATGCTCGGTGTTTAAAGATATTTATTATGACATTAGGTTCCCCTTGTTTTGAATTTCTTTTGGGTTTTTTTTTTCTTTCCTTCAAATTAACTTTTAAGAATATTATATAAGTAACTAAGAAAATAAATTATTGCTACAATTTTGAAAAAATTTAATACATTTTTTTTTATGAAAAATATTATTTATATGAGTAATAACACCATGTGCATGTATAGTTGAATAAGTTTCTAATGTAACAAATAGGAGAGTGTTATTGAAAATAGAATGTTATATCTAAAAATAACAAATTAATAATGACCTAGTTTTTAAAAATCTTTTATGTAATTAGTTTAAGAATTCTTTTTTATTTTAAATCTTAACTTTTATATATGTAGTTATTTTTGTAATTAAATTTTGACCTTTTATTTTCATAAACTTTGAACCCTTTGAATGCTTTTTTCTTAATTATTTTGAAAACTTGTGATGAACTTATACTTTATACGAGTTTCAAAAGTTAGTTCTCAGTTAAGTGGTTCGATAAATTAATAATAAATTAATTTTGGAATTACTCATATGAAAATTTTTTCGCAATATTCAAAGTGTTTTTTTATGAAAAATAACATTGAATTCTTGTGTCCTTACAACAGTTTTCTTTCAAAAATATGGAGTATAGAAAGTCTTACTCATAGGCTAATTTAAATAATTATCAAAATTAAAGTTACTTCTCCTACCACTTTTACCATACAAATTAGAAAACATACGAAAATAAAAGACGGTTCTGCCACCATTCCTAATTATTTTCTGTATTTTGCAAAGTTGACAACGTAAACACAAACAAAATGCAAAACAAAAAAAAATATTTGACCGATCTTATAATTTTGACATTGAAGGTCAAAATTGATGCTATCAATGGGACTTAAATTCATAAAAATGTTTACAAAAGCTTAAATAGAAATTGGGATAGAAGAAAATTTATATTTTATTTTAAACCTCAAATTGGTATAGTCTTCACTCAAATTATCCTTAAGACAGCTATTATTCTTGCATAGCTTCATGACATCCTAACTGGCTGTTGGGGAAATAGCCTACAAGTGCATGGCTCTGGGCGGAATAAGACTGTTCAAGTGGGGTAGCGCAAGTGTGCCAGACCTGGATGAGATATCGAAAATTAACATCGAGAGTTTAGATGAATTCGTACGTTTAATGACGGTCAACCAATTAAAAAATATGAGTAAATCGAATAAATTGTTAAAAATTACTAAAAAAATTCATAACAATTGAAATATTTTCATGTATTCTTTATTTAATATAAAATTAATAAAAAATTTAACAAATTAGACTCTATGAGAAAATTATTAATTTTGCGGAATATATTCAAAAATGAAACCGTGTGTGACACGCAAAAATAATTGAAATTTGAAAAAATCCACTTTGATTTCTATTGAGCGTATACTACTACCCTGCACTAACTGTTAAAAGAAATCCTTAACTTCAAAATTGTCGTAACAGACTCTTAATATGCAATTCAGCTTATGAGTTGTTATTGCTGAATTGTATAGCAATACATGTACACTTTCGTTCTAACTTGTTACAAAAATAAAAAAACAAATGTACTATTTATTATGGCACACCATGTAAATATCATAATTCATTTTATATAAATAATTACATAACCAGGGAAATACAAATAAAAAAGAGAATTATATTTCTTTTTTGAAAAGGACAAAAAAAATTCTGTTTTAAATTAAATGAAGCATTATAACAAAAAGAAATAAAAGTGATAGTTTTTAATTAATTTTCATTTTGTACAAATAAAAAATTGAATTAAAAATGAATTAATTATTATTATTAATAATTTATCTTTTGAAATTATTATTACATATACATACTCATAAACATTTGAATAAATAAATAAATTAAAAACAAATTGAAATAAAATTGACGATTCAAAGGAATATACAAGGATATTTGAGATCTCTGAACTCTATACGACAATTATAAATGTCCTTTATTACAATTTTTTTAATGTAAAATTGAAAATCATAATTAGTTTTTTTAATAGAAATAAATATACTCGTATAAATATATTAAATTGAAAAATAAAGATTATTAAAATATAATTTGAAATTACTCACCTTCAAATCTCTATGAACAATTCCTCGATTATGGCAGTATTCAACAGCAGATAAAATTTGCCAAAATTTAAAGCGTGCAGCACGTTCTGACATTCTACCACATTTTGCTATATAATCTATATCAAAATAAAATTAATAACATTATTATAAATAAATATTTAATAAAAATTTAAATTTTATAATCAAAACTTTATGAAAATTTTTATTCAGTTGTATAAAATTTAATGAATAGCTCCCGTAAATTCCTTAAAAAATATTAAATTTTAGAGTAAACTTTAACTTCTCTTCTATCTATAAAATATCTTGAATATTATTCTAATTTTCGATTCTAACAGGTTAATAAAGTAAATGAGAACATATGTATGCTATATTACAGTATTAACAAAGCTATAACAAACTAATACATCATTATCAAAGTTTCATGGACATTGGAAATCACAAACTATATTTTTGATACATTTTAAAATACGTCGGAACTTTCATATATGGAGCCATTGAAAATGTGAGGAATAAATTCGAATTAGAGAAGATTTCAACAGATATGATTTTATGAGATGTTTTTAATTAGGGGAGGCACCCATGATAAATTGAAACTAGAATACACACCTTTATTTAGAATGAATAAAATTTTTAAATCCAGGTTGTTTTATTACAATGTTGCCGCTTTACAAGACAACATAGCCGAATGTCACTGGAACACCCTTCGTAAATATTGGAAAATTGTTATACACAAAGTTTTTTTTTTAATTCAAATTTTAGAAATTTCAATATTATTTCCAATTCTAATAATTATTTTAACATTTAAACCAAATATTTTCTTTTTCTTTCTAATTTTATTAAAAACAAATTAATTATTTTTTTTTTCATTTCGCATATTTGAACAAGAATTCAAAACAAAAAAAACAAAGTGTCTGTTTTCATTTTTGTTTTTTTCATACTCACTAGGTTATTCACCTGTCTGCCAGCTATCTTATTGAAAAACTACAATAATTAGATGGTATATATTAGAATAATCTAATTGTATATATAGATATGGGTACGAAATTACAACTTGATAATCTTAACAATTTTATTTTATCATAGTGCGTAAATTACAAAAAAAATTTTATTCTAAAGTATGACATTGTTTCTGCTTTTTGCAGAAGGAAAAACAAAGGTAAGAACTCTTATTTAACCATCATAATATTCTTATATATTCTTTTATAAAATTCTGATATAAAAAAATAAAAAAATTTTTTTTTTCTTTTAATTATCTAACTAAGTAGTGTCATTATATATGTGTATAACATCAGATGTAAAAGAAGATAGAAGATTTTATTAGGAGTAATAATCTTTTGATAAGATTTCTCACATCTACAGTTCATGTATGTGTATGAATGTATATGAAAAAGGAAAGGAATTCTAGAGTATGAGTTGTATATTGTAGAGCAATATGAACTTCAAATATAAGAATATAAAATATTAAGGTAACAGAGAACGGAGCAGAAAAGGAAATTCAATCTTAATAGTCTAAGATTCAACTATTTTTGCAAATTATCTTCAAAGCGACTTAACAAATTCAAAGCAGTTTCTAACGAACATGGAATAAAAATTTTGCTTAAGTTATTTTAGTTTTCTGTACTTTATATGATTTAATATTTTGAACTTGTAAGTTGTGGAAGGTTTCTTTTAATGCAATTCGCATTTCTTTAATATTTAGAAATAAGCATTATAGAAAAAATGACTATCGAGCAATTAATTCCGTTTTCACAAACAAATTCCTCACCAAATTTTATACTTAATTAAAAAATTACATAAAGAAATAAATTTTCAATTGCAAATTAATTGGAATCCGAAATTTTTTAGTAATAATACTAAATTTCTCGTTAGCTAGACCAAAAACAACAATTATAGCATAAAGAAAATTCTCTGGTAAAATTTATAAGCAGAATGAAATTACAATACACCCCTTGAGAAAGTCTTATAAACGTTAAAATTTTTATAGCTTATTGTTAGTCGATTTAGAATTTGTTCTATTACGAGTACTAGTTCGGTAATTTCCAAAATTTTAGAACTTTTTTGGGAGCATTTTTAACTTTTAATGAACATACATACATATATGTTTTAAAATATCAAGTATTCAAATTTTTACTTACCGAAAATTTCACCTTGACTAGCATATTCCGATACAATATAAATCATATTTTTGGTTTCCATAACCTAAAAATTAAAAAATACAAAATTAATATAAATTTCAAACTCAGAACTTAAAATATAATTTAATTATAACTAATTTAAAATGTCAACAGAAAGGACATAAAATTAAGTTCAACTTAACCTGTCACAGAGTTCATATTTAAAAATCTAAAAAATTTAATCCAAAATTAATAAACACAAAAGTTTTCTTAAGAAAATGGAATGAATTTCTAAAACTTCATAACGCTATAGGATAGGGTATTAAGCCAAAAAAATTCCCGCATATTTTAGCTACTATTATAAATTCATATTTTAATTTTCAAACCCAAAAATCGTCCTACTTATGCAATAACCATAATATACCTATGAACCGAACTTATAAAGTATATTGAACTCTCATTCGAATTATTTGAACTCAATTTTCTCAATAAAATACCTACATTACTGCGTAAAATCAATATCATTATTCATAAATTACAAATAAAAAAGTTTCAGACAGAAGGCCGCCTTCATAATTTTTTTCTCCCAAACATTTTGAAAGGTGAATATTAAAATCTCACCTTTGCAAAAGAGTTCTATTGCATTCTTATGAATCATTCACTTTACCATGAAATAAAATAATTATTCACTGTTATTTGGAAAAATCACAAGACAATTTTTTTTTTTTTGGAAAATTAATTTGGTTTTTCTTTTCTTGGAAAAGCTTGAAAACAAAAATTTTATATAATAAAAATGTTACGTTCATTTTAAATGCAAAAAAAAAGTGAAAAAAACGTGGCGACATCAAATTGTGGTTTTGTCATTTTTTAATTATATGAGAGCCAAAAGGGCAAAATAAATTAATAAAGAAAAGGAAAAAAAAAATAAAGAAATTTTAACATTTTTTATAATAAGTTTTCAGTGGAAAAATACAAACTGACCATTGTTGCGATTTTCCCCTTAAGACATGCAAAAAAAAATGTTCTTTTAATTATATTTTTCCATAAAACCATATTTTATTTTTAATGTTATAAAGATAAAATAATTATTTAGTTTAATTAAAATGCTTAGTTTATAAGTCATTTTACATGAAATGCATAAAGGCTTCTGATATTTTTCACTAAAATTGAATTGGATAAGATTCAGCCAGTTTGTAATGATTTTCAGGCATTGAAACGGATGTAGGTATTGTTCATTACCATATTTTCGGTATGGCATTGAAAAACAACATAAAATCAAGAGACGACAACCAGAATTGCAACTTATTACTGTATAGCATTGATCTAAGCTTACATGTTGTATAAGAAATCTGCCATTTCTGGCCATTTTCATTAACAAAAATGATTACACAATTAAAAAATAAAATTTCCAAAATTATCCTCTTATACACGCATAATTACATTTCCAATTTTCTTTAAGATCTTCATCTTGTTTTAAAAATTATTTAAAATAAAATTAAAAAAAAAAAAAACTCGTTTTAAGGACATATTTAATTGCTTAACAAAATAATAATTTTTAATTAAATTTCAACAACAATATGCTAGAGACTTAAATTGCAAAAAATTTGATAATAAAGTAAAGTTTTTAGTATTAAGGTACAAGTTTTTTTTTTTATCGTAATTAAATTACTTTTTAGCTAACAAATAAAAAGCAACAAATTCTCTAGCTGATAATTTCCTATACCTTCCTTTTCTAATTCTTATTTGCCCTATCTTACGGTGAACGAAATTGAATCAAGGTATAAAAATTAAAAAAAAATTATCTAAAAAATATCAAATTAAAATTTAGCAATAAAAAAAAATTCCAGTCCTTAAGGCGGAAAATGTCTCCTCATCTAATGTAATAGAATTAAAATTATTTCTACCTTACGATATTAGACTGAGAATACTATATACATTTATGTGTGTATGTAAGCTTAAATGATGGTACTTTTATATTAAAATTATTATTCTATCAAAGTTATATTAAAAGAGAACAAATTAAAATTGTGTAGAAGAAATGAGATGTCATTGTCATTAATTTCAACGCGCGTTTTACAGTTATTAAAAAATTTTTACAATGAAGTTTTTTGCCTGTTTTTTTTTTCTGTAATCTTTTTAATAAGTTGTCAAAATTTTAATAAATTATTATAAAATAATTTTATTTTTTCAGCTATTAAAATTTTAACAGAGGAAGAAAATAAGAAAAGAAATTTTTATAATACAATTTGAAAAATTTCTCCTCTGTAATATTGTATAACTGTTATATTGTAAAATGAATTATTTATAAAGAAATAAATTCATACTGCCTCGTTGTGTATCGTAACTTAAAGAGTTTTTGTTATGTAACTTTATAAATTTCAAAAATTGATTTGCTATTCTAATTACTTAATATACAACAGAATTTGAATCCAAACAATCAGTCTCTTATTTCATATGATTCAATATACACTATAAGATATCATATGTTGAGACAATTCAAGTAATTGCAACCGTTCTCTTATTAAACTCTTCCGTTCTCAATTATATACTGAGAAAATACGTTTTCTTATAATAAACAATTGCCTTTCGCAACATCATACGATTTAATGCACTCTGAGATATAATCTACTAAGGAAATTCAAATAACGGCAGCTGTAACTTCTTACTCCCAGGCAATTACACTCATCTGTTCTCAATTATTTCTGAGCAAACTCATTCTCTTATAATAATCTATTGCCTTCCGCGACATTATTAATTGAAAAGCAGTCATGTTTTTTCCAGTGTAACTTAAAATTTCTTTCTTAAAACAAAATAATAAAATTTAATTACTAATAAAACGTGTAGTTGTCATCTTTATTATTAATTCTTATAAGAGTTACTAATGGAAATTTCTTCGTACAACTGCAGATTCAAATAAAAAATTGATACAAAAATTTTTTATTCAAATAAAAAATTGAATGTACGTTACCATCTTATGTAAATAATGCTTGGAAATCATTTGAAGAACAATTTGCCGGTAATTTCTTCCCAGTGTAGTTTAGTTGGTAGAGCATCCGCCTAGAAAGCGTTAGTTCACTGGTTCAAATCCAGTTAGAGCTAAAAATTTTTTGATTAATTTTTATACCCTGCACTTCGTGAAGGGTATATTAACTTTGGTATGGAGTTTGTAACTACTTGAAGGAGTCATCTGCGGTATGGACATATATATATATTCTTGCTCAGCGTAAAATTCTGAGTCGATTTAGACATGTCCGTCTGTCCGTCCGTCCGTCCGTCCGTCCGTTCGCACGATAACTCAAAAACGAATAATGCAATCGACACCAAACTTTCACAAGTTCTTTTTTTTGTGCCAAGGACGAGCCCTATTGTTATTGGACTAATTCGGACAACGGGTTCGGGTAGCTGCCATACAACTCAAAGAGTTTATTTTAAATATTTCAAAAACTAATAAAGGTATAAATATAAAATTTTGTATACATGTGTCCAATTATATTCTACACATGCTCTGATAATTATAATGGGATAGCTGCACCGGTTCGGGTGGCTGCCATACAACTTCAACAGCAAATTTTTCATATTCGGCAAAATAATAAAGTCAGATTCATGAAATTTGGCAGTCATGTGTCCAATTATAGGTCAGATATATTTCTGAAGTTTTAGAGGAATCGCTTGACAGGTTCGGGTACCTGCCATACAACTCCAGAAGCTAATTTTAAATATTTGGAAAAATAATAAAGTCAGATTGATGAAACTTGGCAATCATGTGTCCAATTATAGGTCCGACATATTTCTAAAGTTTTGGTGCGATTGCTTGACAGGTTCGAATAGCTCCCATGCAAGTCTAAAAGCTTATTCTTAATATTTGGAAAAATAATAAAGTCAGATTCATGAAACTTGGCAGTCATGTGTCCAAGTATAGGTCAAATATATTTCTGAAGTTTTGGTGGAATTGCTTGACAGGTTCGAGTAGCTCCCATACAAGTCTTAAAGCTTATTTTAAATATTTGGAAAAATAATAAAGGCAACTTCATGAGACTTGGCAGTCGTGTGTCCAATTATAGGTCAGACATATTTCTAAAGTTTTGGTGCGATTGCTTGACAGGTTCGAGTAGCTCCCATGCAAGTCTAAAAGCTTATTCTTAATATTTGGAAAAATAATAAAGTCAGATTCATGAAACTTGGCAGTTGTGTGTCCGATTATAGATCAGATATATTTGTGAAGTTTTGATGGAATTGCCTGACAGGTTCAGGTACTTCCCATAAAACTCCAAAAGCTTATTTTACATATTTGGAAAAATAATAAAGTCAGATTCATGAAACTTGGCAGTTGTGTGCCCGATAATAGATCAGATATATTTGTGAAGTTTTAGTGAAATCGCTTGACAGGTTCGGGTACTTGCCATACAACTCTGCCAAAAAGCTTATTTTAAATATTTGGAAAAATAATAAAGTCAGATTCATGAAACTTGGCAGTCGGATGTCCAATTATAGGTCAGACATGTCCGTGAAGTTTCTATAGAATGATTTTAGAGGTTCAAGTAATTGCTACACAATAACGAAAGGTGCAGGGTATAATTCAATCGGTTTATACCGACTGAAACGTTTTTACTTGTTCTAACTTGGCTCGTATCTTTCATTACGTCAGCTATTTGTTCTGCAGAGTTATTAATTTTCAATTTTCGCAAATCACTTATATAATATTAAAGATTCATGTGCTATCATTCGAGAGTGTTAACGATTAATATTTATTTTTCATATTCCATTTTTAAATATAGATATGCAAAATTTATTATGCATTCAATTTTTATAGTGCGAATGAATGCTTTGCAATTTAAACGTGCCAAAAATGAAAGAAATTTTCATTTTATAAAAAAAAATTACAAAAATAGAAAAAAATTTCAATTTTAAAATTTTTATAATGAGAACACAATTTTCTTAAAAGAAAGAAAATTTTTATTAAAAAGGGTCTGCAAATATATATAAATTTTTTATAACTACTAAACACTAGTTTGATATTTTTTTTATTCTTAGACTGTATTTACTTTAGATTTCTTTTCAATCCCTTAAATACTTAAGTTTTAAATTTTATAAGAAGAATTCCAAAAGAATTATAAAACCTCAATTTTTTTTTTGAAAATATCCTTCAGGATTTTATTTATGTAATCTTTTCAAAAGTAACACAAAAAAAAACAAAATAATTTTATACAAATATAATCAACTGAAACCACAAATAGTTTTACACTAAATAAATATTAATATACTTTATATGTAACCATATGTGTGTGGGCACACACATATTACACACGTATGAATAAGTATAAATAAATAATATACCGAAGAATATATATAAAGGTGAATCAAAGAAAACTTATTAAAAATTTGGTACTTTCAAATAGCAAAAAACAGAAAGAAAATATTTGGTGAAATTTTTATAGCATTAGTGATCGTCTTTTTTATATCGTTTTAGGTACAATGAACGTTCTTTTAGGGATTTAAAAGATTAAGAATTTTTTTTTTCTTTTAGTGTTTTCTACTTTGACTTAAATCTTACAGTTCGTAACAGTTCGTATAAAAAATTTCATAATTTTTTTGTTTTTTATACCAGAACGGTATATCGGACGTATGCTCTATACTAAATTTGCTTTACTGTTCGTAACATTAAGAAATAATGGTCTCAGATATGACTCAAGTGTATGTTTTTGATCAGCGTCGTGTTCGTTTCTCCCTCCACCCCAACGATAACTCTAAAATTAATTGAACCGAGCACACCAAATTTTCACAAATAATTAATACCGGATTTATAATAATAAATACGGGAACCGTATTTAAATTAAATGTGACCAAAGCAGCTGTTCGGGTAGCTTCCCTAGAACTTTAATAGGGCCTGTTATGTGTGATTTTTTGATTCCCTGTGGTAGCTGCCATACAACTTCAGTGGTTATTTGATTATATCTTACAAACTATTGAAACTACAATGCTAAAAATTTACGTAAATGATATTTCCATAATTTCCATATGACCATTATTATAATCATTATTTTCAGTAAATATCTTTCAAATGGTATGAGTTAAAAAATGGAGGTCATATAGTATTCAAGTTCTTTCACATTTCTTAATTTTTTATTCGTACGCTTTTTTTTTGTTTTAAAAATCTAAGAAATTTAGATTCTCTATAATAATCATAGAATTCAAATTAAAAATATAAAAAAATTTTTGATTTGAATATAGAAGAGAAACAAGTTGATTTTAATATTCCAACATTCGTTCGTACGGGTATACCTGTATGTACAATAAATTTGTACATAAGCGTGGTGTATGCTTGCATATATAATTCCAAACCAGAATTTGGTGTATCTTACGAATATCTTTCACAAAAATTTTTCGGGGTAATAATATTTACTAGTCTTCTGAAAATAAGTAAAACATTTATGAAGAAATGCCCCAAAAATTATGCAATTTTAAACGGAAAAAAATTATTTCAACCGAAATTGTGATTTTCATCATTTCTTTTTACGAGATTATCTAATTTAAAAACCTTCAGTTTTTTTATAATTTTTAGAATTTTTTAAAATTTTGTTCAAAACCCTCGTTAAAAATAATTAATATGTCGATATTTTTAGTTAAAACGAATGAAATTGCACTACACAACTATTTTGTAAAATTCTGGAATTGTTTGGAACTAAGTGGAAATTATAGTCGTCAATCGTAAGCGCGCATATAATTTCGTAAAATGAACCGTATTGTTCGATTTTCTATATTGTAAGGGTAGTTGGCTCAAAATTTCCTATTTAGCTCAACATTTCCTTTTTTGGCTTATCATTAAAAATTAAGGTTTGAATACGATCAGTTCAAGAAAATTAACTCAACTTTTAAATTTTTACTTTATAATAAATAATTAAATACAATTATATAAATTAATTATAATTAAATATAATTATATTAAATATACATTATATAAATTATATGATTAATATTTAAAAATTATTTTACCTGATATAATTTTATAATATGTGGATGATCTAAACGTTTCATAATATCGACTTCACGATAAACTTTTTGTAAATTACTAGCATCTAATTGTGATTTATCGATTATTTTAATAGCAACCTGTAATTAAAATAGAAAAATAATAAAAATTAATTTAAAAAATTATTAATTAGTGTGAAAAAAAGAATTTAATAATTTTATTTATTTTTTAAAGAATTGGTAAGCCTTTAATATTTTTAGAAACTAATGGTGACAGAGTCATTAAATTAATTTGAATTTATGAGCTTTAATTCAATTTAAAAATTTGATTGTAATTAATAAAATTCTTATTTAAGGAATTTATTAATTATTAATCGCTTTATATTGAATTTATTAAATGAGTGTTTTGCTCCTGAAAGTGAAGGTAGAAACAACACAAAGTTCATTTGTTACAAATTGGAATTACGTCAAGGAAAAGATTGTGTCGTATACATAGAAAAAGATCTTGCATTAAAACATATGAACACAGCTACATATGAACAGATGCTACTGCAAAATTAATAAATAAATTACAATTCTCGAATTACATAAAATTTCAATTTAATCAACTCATATTTCGAATTTTAAATAATTGTATTCCAAATACTTTCAATTCGTAACAAAAAAATGGTAAGTCAATAACCTAATTTCTAAAGAAGCAAATAATTCCCAACAGAATTACAACCATAATCATTAGTCTTTCTCAATTCGCATATTTCTCTTAATTCACATAACATTTTATTTAATATTTATCAAATAATATCTTATTCTAATTTTAAATCAATATTTTATTTATGTACTTATAATATACACAATATACTTAAACAATAATGCATATGCAATTTGTCATCAACTAAATACTTTAATGAAATAATTACTCAGAACGCACAAAAACATATACACACCGCTTGTGTATATAAAAATAAATATTCTCTTTCCTTTCTTTACTGTACATACCACGCATATTCGCCGCGTGCACATGTGTTTACATTAAGTATGCCATAAACATAAATCTTATGTAGTTTTTTTTTTCTTCATAAAAAAAAAATCAAAAATGACGCAAACTTTTTGACAAAATATTTTTTTTTTTAAATCAGAACGTTTTTTTTTCATTTTTCAAGGAAATGAGGAAAATTCTGAAACGTTTAATCAATAAAAAAGCAAAACAAAAAAAAAAATATGAGAAAAAAAAATAAGAAAAAGAAAAACTTATGGAAAGTTCAAAAACATCAATCAAATGTCAATGGAGTGAAAACACACACGTCACATATTGAAATTTTTTATAAAATAAATTATGTTCAATATAACGGTACAAGAAAAAAAAAGAAAACAGAAAACAAAAAGAGCAAATAAAAATGCGTTACTTTTTACTTAAGAAAAAAAAAAATACTAAGTTTTTCTTAGCGGAAATAAATTTATTTAGTTTCTCATTTTTCCATGAAATAAATGTGAAATATATTAAATGTGGTCTTCTTGTTACAACAGTTACTGTCCTTTCAATCATATTGACACATACGTTATGTTTCGACACAGAAGGAATCAGTCTTAAAAATGGGAGCTACGAGTAATAACGCAACAACAATTTAATGTTGTCGAAATTTGGGCTCTTCTGACTGGTGACGAACAAGAGAACGGCATAAATCACGGGAGGCGTGAGAGCCGTGCAAGAGAACGATAGTAATTTAAGAGTAGTTCAGAAGTATTGTACGCTAATTTTCACTTCATTTCCAATAATTTCCGATTTTTTTTCTTATAATAAAAATAAATCAAATTGAAACGAACGCCAGAAACGATAATTTCCATATATTTTTATTAAATAATATTTATATTAGTCATTTTGATTGAATTACAATGAAAACAGATGGTATAATAGGGAAAAGAATTTTCTATATAATGCATTTAAATATGTGAGTAATTGCAGTAATTTACAATTATAACGCATAAATATTCACCCATGTACATAAATAAATTCTAAAACTTTATTTGAAAATTATTCCCAAAGAGAAAGATATATAATTTCCTTTTGTCAAATTCAAAATCAATAAATTCATACGCACCCCTAGAAGTATGCAAAAAATCCAATTTTTTTTTAAATCACGTTTTTCTAAAACTTTTGAATTTTTTTTTTATTATATTTAAATTAAATTAATTATTATATAAAATTTTCCGATTATTATTTTGCTGTTCTACTAAGCCAAATTCTATTTTATAGAATTATTCTCTATTGAATAATGAAAGAATAAAACTTATAAGGTCGTTCTATGCACGCAACATACTTGCGTAAAAATAAATTTAAAATAATTTTGTAATTTTTTCTGATTCTTTCTTACCTATTTTTATTCATTTTATTCATTATTATACTGAACACGATTTTTTATACGAAAAAAAAGAAAAAGCAAAAATTAAAATCTCTTTTTATTTCTTAAGTTCATTTCCTGTCAAGAGATTCACAAAATCTTTTTATGTAAGTATAACAAGTAGCTACACTTTCATAAAAAACCGGAGAAAACAAGAATTTTAGTAATGTAATTTTTAAGATTTTTTTAAGAATTTCTGACATATTAAAATTATATTTGAAATTTTAATATAGACAGAGATATGAAAAATAATAATGTAAGTTAAGTAAATATTAGACATCATATACCACTATGGATTAAGGACATAACAAATTTCACGTAGGCGCGTATAAGCATTGCATATAGGAGAATACAAAAAAAACAAAATTTTTAAAAATGTAATGAACAAAGTTGCCTTAATACATTATTTCTCTTTTTCTCTGACAACATACATATGTACACATATAACATATAACATGTACACAATACAAGCATGAACATTTTGCATACTTAATTAAAACAATACTCTCCAGAAAACCCACAAAGATATTATAATATTAATAATATAATAATAAAAAAAAAAATAATTTCAAAAATTTCCTGTGGTTTGTATTTTTGCATGTGTTTTTCCTTATCTCTTTCATTTTAATAAAATATGTACAAACATACATAATATAGATAGACTTGAACCTGTAAGTATATAGAATTTTTTTTTATTTCTTTTTGAACTGAACTGCTCTTATATTTTTCCTTGTCGTTCATTCTCTTTTTCCTTTATTTCTTATTATATTTTCCATAATTATTTCTTTGTTGAATTAACATACATATACATATATATGTACTTTATGTACGTGTGTTATAATAACTTGCATTTATAATTCTATATATAGGTTAATGATCCAAAATAATAATAATAATAATAAGAGAAATAATTTTATTCCCCCTTCGCCCATTCTTTCGAAAAGAATTTATTGAAATATTCTCACATCAAAAAAAATAACATAAAAAAAATATTATATTAACATTTGATGTTGATTTATATAGGTGTATATATTTTTATATACATATACATATAGTTATGTATATTGCTTTGAAAGTATAATATAAATAAATTTAGATCAAACTTATAACAAGTTTTAATGTATGTTCAAATGTATAGGCATTTATTCTAAATAAAATTGAGTATAATGTTTTGTTCGGTCTTAAATTTGAAATACGGTATATTGAATTTTAGAATTTTATCAGCTCTTTGACCAATATCATAATGATATAGATCTCCAATATGTAGTTGACAGTATTAATCAACATAGTAAAGCTTTCGGTTTAAAAGAAATGTATCTAAGACAAAATATATGATTGTAAGTAGATCAATGGAACCTTACACACTATCGGACATTGAAATCTATAATATTCCGTTCAAAACGTAAAATTTACAAATATTTAGGGTGATGATTGAACAAAGGATGAAATTGGAAAAAATATATTAAATAAGGCATTGAAATGGAATGACAAGGAGCTCTTTTATCAAACACAATAAAAGTGCTCTGCAAAAAGCAATTGAGTTTGGATTTACAATTGCAATTTTAAAAATGCTACGAGTATAATGTTATATGGTGTAGAAACGTTATATAGCGTAATTATATAGCTTAAAAATTAAAGACATAAACAAAAATGAGGCATTTGTAATGTAGACATTTCGAAAAATATTGAGAATAAATTGGATAGGTCACACATCAACCGACGCATTTCTCAGAAGTATGAATACAAATATGAAACTATTCTAGAGTATAAAACTCAGAAAATTATCTGACTGTGGTCATGTGACACGCGGTGTTAAATATAATCTACTCCAGGAAGAGTATCTGGAGTACCTCTCCTGCCAAAAACCTCCCCTGCCACTAAATCGAAGGCAGGAGAGGTGTTGGGCGCAAGCAGGTGTCTTTGTTGCGTAATATTAGAAATTGAAACATATATGATATATCAAGCCTTTGCCCATCATTTATTTGAGTAGAGGTGTTGGGTGCAAGCAGGTGTCTTTGTTTCGTATTATTAGAAATTGAAACAAATATGATACATCAAACCTTTGCCTATCATTTATTTGTAATTTCGTTAAATTTAACTTAAATTCTGTGACATGGAAATATTATATATAAATTTTGAGTAATAAGTAATGTTAATGACATATGATATTAAAGTAATATACAACAGAAATTGTGTATAAGTGTGTATGTAAAAAAAATGTTAACATGAACTTATTTTAATTATATTTAATAATTTAAATAGAAAAGAGAAACCCTCAAGAAAATTAAGAAGTAACAAAAAATTATTAAAAAAAAAATTTTATTTTAATTATAGAGAAATTTTTTTTTTTTGATTTAAGAATAAGAAAGATATTTCCTCTATATTTGTGGATTCTATAACTTAATTGAATTCAATTTTGATTTATAGAAATTTTAACTAAATTTAATTTATTTTAAACTTTATTCAATGCTATATTTTATTTCAATTAAATTAAATCCTGCCGACTTCTACTGTTATTATGAGACGTTTTTTTAGACAAATCGTTGATTACTTTGTTTCTCCAAAAGCTTAACTTCATTTCCCCATTTAAGACAATTCAATATAGCACAACACGATACAGTTTTCATGTTTAATCTCATGTTTAACTCAATGAGGTTAACACTTACTTCCTAAAAATGCATCGAAACAAGTAAAATATGTTGATTGCCAGTTATGGTTAGATTTTCTTAGAGAAAGAGGTAAAAT